GCTATGATTCTTTTTTTAGTTACAATAAAGTCTTGATTCTTAGTCCCCAGAAGAACTAAGAAGGTTGTGTTTGGAAAGCATGCAACCAGCTGACATGTTTTTCTAGTTTTGGGTTTCATTGTACGATACTAATATTTTGTGAAAGTAGTAGACTAAATTTGAGGTTGATGACTGACTTGTCTGCTGAATGGAAATGTGTGTAAGACTTGCTCTTTTCTTTTTACAGTAGCTCTAAATTCTAATTATTAGATTCCATAAACTTGCCTGACCCAATCACATTCTTCAACTGTGGCTGTTCCTTGAGTCTTTTTCAACTTGAGTCTTTTTCATTCATCTTTATATATCTGACCCGCAGGAGGTCTAGAAATGAAGGCTTTCCCTCCAAATACAGATATGCAGTCAGTGTCTCCCCCAGATCAATCCCTCCCCTCATTCTGAACAACAGAAAGTATCCTGACAGTTTTTTGCAAGTGAAGTGTTGGATCATGTGTGGATCAACAGGTGAAAGCAATTGTGAACTCACTCTGACCAGATACAAATCCACTGTAGTTACCATGATCCCAGTGTGGTGAGCATGTTTCCTTTCTGGTTTTTGACAGCTAAAAGTATACACCCAGAGTCAGTTCCTGAAGCTCAACTGTTTTTACACTATCTCACTAAGCTGTAGTTGCTTAACTCTTTGCAAGTGTAAGTTTTATGTCCCTCCTCTGATTCAATCTTAACAGTAAGATGAAATACTGTCTTGTGTAATTGATAATCAGTTGGCTATTGGACATCTAGTGGTGCACATCTCATCACAGTATCTTAAAAAAGAAAAAAATTATTGCCTTTATTTTTTATTTGAAAAGTGTTTCAGGTAACCAGGATTTTATATGAATGCACATAAAATCAATTTTGGACTTGGTAACATAATTTGTGATCTGTGAGGTCTCTCATCGGAAAAGCTGAATGGGAGATTAGTTAAAGCTGCTGCTTTTGTTTTATTTTGCACTATTTGCACCCAGGCTTCATCTGCAAGATACTGTAATGGCTAGAAATTAGAGGGAACCCTGAAGAAACACTGTAAAACTATTAATAAATGTTCACCCACATAGGAATAACCCAGGCCACTAAGTTCTTTACAATGTGATATTTCCAAACGGCTTTTCAGAGCTGTTATGGTTGCATCAATTTTACCAGTGAGATGAAATGCAATGAGTTATAAGTAAGTATTACTCCTACTTTGAACACATTTAAATTACATTGTAGCTCTTGAAAACAATGGTTTTCAAGGATGGGCTTGCAAATTCCAAGGTTACTCATGGTAGTAGGTTAGATGTGCTACTTGTTTGTAACACAGTTAAAGCAGGTACATTTTTGCATTCTGTACATCCAGAGACCAAGCTATTCTGGTGCTACATGTTGAAAATTTGCACCCCACCCCCTTCCCGCTGTTAATTGAAAGAAAATAGGAAGTGTTTAGAAAGTGCCAGTGAGTTCAGGAGTAAAAACTTCCATTGTCACCTAAATTTATATTAGGTGAAAAACTCAAGTCTTTGGTTAGAAGCATCAGTGTTCTTAACCAGATCTGTTCTAACTAAACACACATTTGGCTGAATGTGTCACAGAAAACCAAACCTTTTAAAGAACTTTATTAGACCTAATTATACCCAAGTTAACAACCTAAGAAAAACAAGATGATGTTGTGACGTTACTCCTTGATGGAATCATGCTGTGGTGCCTGTGTAGTGGGAATTCAAACTGTCCCAAGTCCCTCCCAGGCCTGTGTGTTGACACAGAATGAGAAGTAGGAAAGACATTGTTGTTAGCTGACGATTTCTGTTTTCTAGAGATGTTCTTGAGAAATAGATTTTGAGGTTTTCATAGGTACTGCTTTTCTGTAAAGCTTCATTGTAGGGTATTATACAGGTTGATTTTTTAAAAGATTTATTTAATTTCTACAGCCTTGTACTGATGCATGAGAGAAGAATGGTGGAAAAAACTGCTATTTCTATCCTGATTTTCACCTGTGCTCCCCTTTGGGCCATTGCTATATGCAAAACAAACAATAACAAAGTTTTTTGTTTGTTTTTTAACTAAGTTATCCAAATGAAGTCGCTGTGGGCAATTGTGCAAAGCAACATTTGCAAACCATAAGGAGAAGAACTTTTCTTAATTATTGTTACTTTCTGAATATATCTGATTTAGTTTAGCTGCCCTGCACAGGCAACTCTGGATTTTTTTTTTTTTTTCCCCCCATTGGAGTTATATTGCTCTATCATCTGTGGTGTAAAAAGCAGTCTCATAAGAGTTAATATTTTAAAAATACTTTTTTACTGCTCTAACAGTTAGAGGCCCTGATGATGAACCAAGCACCTGCTGGTTCCAGAGAGACTGAAAGAAGGAGGGAACAATGAAAATGTTTTTTTTTTTTGTAAATGACACTGTTTTGAAGAATGCAAACACTGACAGTAATAGCTGTTGGTAAATTCTTTTCTTGTAGTGATTAAGAGGTTTAAACTTGTGTCACTTTTGTTGTAATTCTGTTCTACGTATTCCTTTCATTACCTTTTTTCAACCAAGATACATTCTTTTCCCCCCTTTCATGATATGCATCACTTTTTCCTCTCTCTTTGAAATAATCTTCTGTTATAGCGTGTCTGACTCTGCTCTTTTGAGCAGAGAATCCAAAATCCCACTGCTTCTGCTGAAGCATTGCATCTATAAGAATAATGTATAAACTCCAGTTCATATTTTCAGGCCGCAAGAAGGGTAGGTGTTTAGGAGTCTTTAATTAATCAGGAAAATTAATCCAGTCTCTCCAAATGGTAGTGATCCTTAAGTGGACCCATTATTTCCTGACAGTAATTGGAGTATAGTTGCTCCTTTGTAGGAGTTTTCATTTCCAGTGAAGTAAAAAGATTGTTTTCACTACTGAAGGAGCAGTGTGCGCTGTTCTGGACTCAGCTAATCTCCTGTCCTTTGCTGCACAGCTTTTTGTTAGTTGTTGACGCTGTAGGTACAAGACATCTAAAAGAGGGCTGTAGCATGATCTAATGTTTTCCTTAAATGTAAACCACATAAAGTTCAACAAATCCAACACATACTGGGTGTGAAAGCCTTCACTGTAATCTGACAGCAAACATTTATTTTGTGAATCTGAGTGGGTCTTTTTAAAGTATTCACTCTACAATGCTATTAAAAGTGAAAAAAAAAAAAGGTGTATTTATTTTTAAAAAAATTTAGTTTTCATGTGGAATAGGAGTTACACATGCCCTACCTTTTAAGGTCTAATTTAGATATTACTGAAAGTAAAACAAAGCCCCTTGGTTAACAGCAGTGTAAGTGAAAAGCAAATACAGTGCAAATTGTGTTCATTAACAGGAACAGAAATTGCATCTAAGAGCAGAGAATAATGATTCATTTCTCAACTGGTGGTGAAACTGTTTTACCTGATTGTATACCAATGGGACAAAATGAGAATGTTGTAAATGTGTGGGTTTTAAGTGGAGCAAAGCTGTCAATAAAGATACACTGAAGGAGTCTGCCTCTAGAACCTGTTTGTTCTACTTGTGACTTTAATCCTGTTTATCATCCCTATTTTTTCCAGTTTATTTCCATAGCTTTAGTGTCTTTGGATTGAATTATTTCTCTTCCCTCTTAGTAAGACCCTCTGTCTTAGTGCATGAAATTAGAGCTTGATCGATTTTGTTCCTGTGTAATCTTATGTAAAGCTCTCTCTAACACCTTCCTTTTTTTTTCTTTTTTTTCTTTTTGTAAAGTACCACTTTTATTTGGCAGAGATGTTGATTCTTATTATTTAAGAAACAGGTCTTCAGCATATGGAGGGTAGAAAGAGAAATGATTCCTTCTTTGCCTTGTCTTTGCAAGCTATACACTTCATGCCGTTACAAAAACCTTGCTTGTTATTAGGGTAATACTTGTGATTCCAAGCCAAAGGGGAAATACACAGTAGTCTGTACAACAGAGAAGGATGTAGCTAAAATCTCTACTATCTGTTATATTATCCTTAGTGAAGCTATGTATGAAGGACTACAACACTGGGAAATGGCCCATTGTCCAGTGGGGGGGAAGTAATGAAAAAAGCCAACAGTCAGCCTAGGAAAAACTGGTATTTCTTTTGTCCCTGGCACAAATCTATCAATTTGTCAAGTTGCAGGCCAATCATAAAGGAAATACTTATTCATTCCTTTCCACTGCTTATAGTTTTGTTATAGTGTATGTATTTAGTGTGTTTAATGAGTGTGCTAAGTGAGGGGAGAATCATGACCCTGTTTTCTGCAAGTGATTTGAAGGGTTTTATTTCAGTCAGACTAGATTGGCTCCGTGAATCAATGTTGTGATGGAGTATAATCAGTAGTCTTCATTTGGGAGAAAGCATTTCTCGTACTAAGGAAGATCTTGGAAAGAAATTAGCTTTCATTATATGTTTCAACTTTTTTCAGTCTACACCTCTGTAACTTTTATAGTCCAACTAGCATGCCTTTTTGAAACCTGAGTTTATTAAAAAGTTGTAGAAAATTAGCCAAGTTCATGCTTAGGTCCTAAGACATTCATGCAGTTAAGCTCATAGAATAATGCCTAGTACTGTATCTTACTGTTGATTTTATAATTATTGATGGCTTTGTTTTGAGATAGTACAAGGTAGCAGGTATTTTTGCTATTTAGCACATTACAGTTATGAAAATCTTCAAGCTCAATGTCAGGGTAAAGCTTTGCTTTAGCAAGCTGCAGAAATTACACGATATATTTAAAACTAGGTTTACTTATATGCTGGCATGTATCAGAAGTAGTAATCTACTGATGCAAATACAATAAGCCACGGAATATTATTGTGCTCCTTTATTCCATTTTCTCTTATTCCATTAGTATAATTCCAAAGAAAGTTTGTTTTTCATTTTCAGCTTGGAGGAGATGAATCATTGCTGCTGTTTGTACTTCCAGGCTTTGATTTTTTTCCTTTTGTGATAAATGCTTTTTCTTTTTAAAATATTGTATAGGGCTCACTATCCTGGAACAAAAACGGTGCCAAATGCCTTATTAACTAAGAAGAAACTGTGGTCCTCAGAAGATTACAGTACTTTCAATGATGAAGTAGGTGCAGGCTGCTGGGCTCGGATCCTGAACCAAAACTATGTGAATGGAAACATGACCTCGTAAGTGTTGGGCACTGTTGCTCGCTTTCACAACTTCATATGTAAGAGTTGTTTCATGTACTATATAACACATGCATCTGCTATGGTAAGATAGTAGGCAAACTGAAACTCTCTCCAATGTCAGTCTGAATTCAAATATAGTAAGGTATGAAGTCTACTGTCCTTACCTCTTTCTAGGGTAGAAGCCTCACAAGTTTTAGTGTAGTCTTGAGTTACCGTTCCACAGAATCCAATGGCTTACGCAGCTGAGTTCAGATCCCTTTGAGACTCTGATGATATTTGGTAAAAAGAGAATGTTCTTATGAAGAACTAACAACATGAAAAAAATTGGAGAAAAATAATAATAAAAATACTTTATCTGTATTTTTCTTGGGGTCTTTATCGGGTTGTTTGTCTTCAGTTAAAAGCAGTGGGTACAGATGTCATTACCTATTTTTTCCATACAACTTCTTTCTCAGAGTCCGTTCTAAAAGTTGTTGTAGTCTTTTGATATGTTTACTGTTTCCTGCACATTTTCTTTCCAAACTGAAATCTGGAAGAAAGCTGTTCTATTTATTAGGAAATTACATTACTTACAGTTTTAGAAGAGAATAGAAAACACACTTCACTTTTTCTAGTGCAACAACTACTAATCTGAAAGAAAAAAAAAATTCTGATTAAATAAAATGTAGGCATCCAGATGTAAGCAAAATTGTTCAAAGCTTTTAGTTTTTATGTAACTTCATTTTTGGAACAAAAAAGCAAAAATGTTTTTTGTCTGAAATGCTTGAAATGGAGCACAGCACAAAGCACTTGGATATTTGTAAAGAGAAGTTTCTTGAGTCACCTGGTTTCTGAACAGGTGAATATTCTGTCTCATTCTCTGCAAGCTGAAATTTTCTAACAGGTGAATATTTCTTATGTGAATTTGTGACCACTCTGGTTGCCTCTTAACTCTCATATGCTTTTAACATTTTACTTTGGGGTCTTTCTTTTCCCATTTCTTTTCTTATTTACAAGCCTTTTGTAATTATATATGCCCCATTTGTTTAGCAACCTGACAGTCAGGCCTGTGTATTGTATTTAGAAATTACTGTGGAATAGTTCCAAGTCCATATATCCAATATTTAAGTTACCTTGGCTTTTAGATGGAAAACAGAGCCTTCCTGGTGAAAACCAGCTTATGTTTCTGCTAAGCTTGTTTCCTTTGAACTTGAGTACCCGACATTCCTTTTTCTAAGTTTGAAACTGCAGAACAAGTTTGATGTGAGCAAGTTGCTGAGTTCATAACCAAGAGTTGTTTATTTTATGAGCAACTTTTGTAGGATTTCAGGATCTCTTCTGAAATGCATGTATAGTGTGATACATCCATGGCAAAGACTTTAGAATATGAGGCCTTTGCAGTCATTTGTATGCAATAGCAGAACAGCATGCCAACTTCTGCTTTCTACATAACTGCTTTATTAAGCTGTATTTCCGTACTTACGGTTTCCATACTTACTTATTTCCATACTAAGATTTTCAGTGGACACCAAACCAAAAGACCTGAAGTAATTAATCTTGTTAGTGTCATGACAGCTTCTTGAAATAGCAACAACTCCTGGAGGATGGCTGGTTTGCATTGTTATCTGTTTGTTATGTATATGGATAAAAGAAGGATTTTTTTTTTCAATGGTAGTTAACCACTTCCTCCCCTGCTTCCCTCCCCCTCCCCCCAAAATAAAAAATTACCACCACCACCAGCAACAACCAACCAAGAAAAAAACCTTGATATTTTCAAAAAAGGAAAAAAGTAAATATAAATGGAGTCTTTAACCCTCAGTACACATTTCCTTTAATGTGCCACTTTTTATGGTGATATAGCCAGAGAACATATCATCAATTTATAAGAAGTTCTCAACACTGGAAGTTGATTTTATTTTTGTCTCCTGTGTTTTTTGTTTTTTTCTTTCTTCTTTAGCTGGAAAGTTTCTTGTTTTTTGTTTTTGTTTTTTTTTCTTTCCTTAAACTTCTTTTCATTGTATGTTGGAGAAGAAAGAGGAATAAGTTCTTGTGCTAAATTAATCTAATACTATCCATATGAATGGAGCAAACACACCTGTTTTTCTTCCAGCACCATTGCATGGAACTTGGTGGCTAGTTATTATGAAGAGTTGCCCTTCGGTCGATGTGGATTAATGACAGCACAAGAGCCATGGAGTGGCCACTACAAAGTAGAAGCTCCGATCTGGATTACAGGTATAAAGTTTGTAGGTATAAGTCTGGTGATCTAACAGAGGCATAACTGTATTTTCTGAGGCCTTTATTTAGTGTTTTTTATATACATTATTTTTTGTACCAAATTAAATTAGTTTTGTGGAAAGTTTTAAAAAAGGAGGAGGAAGAAAAAGAAAGCTTCTTTCAATACAAAGCAGAAGGATCTAGTAGCAATAGAAATTTTGATACTTGACCATTAGATACAGCGGAAATGAATAAACTACTGCCCTTTATAGCTGTTTATTAAAGTATTTTGATCTGAAGTGCCCAGAAAGGTTAATGTACTTTCCTAGTTCCTTTCCCTCTTTTTTTTTTTTAATCCTGAAGTAGACATTTGATACCTCTCAATTTGAGAAAATGTAACAAAGAACCTCTGTATTCTTGTCCTGCTTGAGATTCTTGGCTTGTGTAAGTCAGCATTTCCTTGCGCTTGGGGAAAGGGGAGTACGTTCACGTGGTGTCTATGGACACGTGGATTCACTGGCTACTGTGTAGTCCTGTAATATTTTACTGTCTTTGCCGCAGTTCAGTAGAGCAGGTAGCATATGCAGTGCCATAAAGGAGGAACAAGGAAAATACTTTCATTTTTATTCTTCTGCTAGTTACCTGTATATGTAAAAGCATTAAAAAAAATGGCCATAGTGTCGTATGAACATTTCAGAACAACTGAGCAGTTGTTCCTGTTTCCATGTAGCTCAGGATTTTCATGATCTAGGTCATATTCTTCTTTGTTACTATCTTACATGCTGAAAACCTTACTTAGTTATTCCTCGTGGACATGCCCATCTATGCTTTCTCTGGCTCAACTTGTTACTTTATTTAAAAAAAAATATTTTGGAAAATCTAAATGATGATGAATATTCATATTGAATGTACATGATTGACTTATATAGTGGTGTAATAGTTTTTTTCTTCCTGTCTAAATAATCACTATCATTTTAACTGTTTTGTCTGCCACAGAGCTGATGTTTTTAATTGTGCCTTAGTATAATTCTTCAATCTTTCTTCTTGTATAGGTAGAACTTGTTTTGAAAGTTTCATTACTTTCTTCCCAAAATCAAGTTTCTGTTGTGTAAGAATGTATGAGAGAGAAATTTAATTCAGACTACAAATGACATTACATTTTATTAAGACTTAATTATTTTCTTCTGATTTTTGTTCTGTTTTGTCTCAGCGCACACAACGCAATTTACTCAGCCGGGCTGGTCATACTTGCAAGTGGATGGACACTTAGAAGGAGGTGGCAGTTTTGTAGCTCTGACAGATGGCCTAGGAAACCTTACCATCATCATTGAAACTATGGTAAGTGCATCAGCAATTCCAATGAACTAGAAAAGATAAAGGAAATGTTTTGTTATGAAGAACCTGTTCTGATTTATGTAGTTCAGTGTATGCAAATATGTTCTTTGATGCTTGTAGCTTTGTTAGTGAGATCACTAGAGGTCCTTTTTCCTGTCTTAACTTTGAATAGCTAGTTGAATCTTCCTGGAGACCAATGTATAAGTCATCTTTATATCACAAGTTAGCTTTAATTTGATGTCACAATTTGATGAGGAAGTTAGATTATGTGTTTTTTTTTTAAAGCAGTATTAAAAATAAAATTAATAAACTAGTGTAATTGTAGTTATCATTAAGGTAACAGTGAAATAAATAGTTGCAAATTGATTCTATGTTGCATTTTAGATTCCAATTTATGCTGTATGTTTTTCATGAGCATTGCCATGCGATGCATTCCACTAATGTATGTTGCTTCTGTTACATTTATTTTTTTTTTCTTCAGACTCATAATCACTCTCAATGTATCAGGCCTCCACTGCCTCATTTCAGTGTGACACCTCAGAGAGCAACTTTCTACCTCAAAGGATCATTTGTAAGTAGCTCTTGAATACATTTGATAAGTCTTGTAAAATGACTTGCTATCTATAATCAAATACATGCAAGACAATATCACAGGTTAGCAAGAAATTGGAGTTCTTTACCTCCAGTAGTAGAGGCTGTACACACCTGGCAAAGTTTTAAGCATTCTAGTTCTGCTTTTACCATGAGATGTAATGTCATAACTGAATTTGTAGAATTATTATCTCCCAGTCTAGTGATCTGTATATTGAAGAAGAAATTCCCCAGAACAGAAATGCAATTGGATTTTTCTTTAGGATTTATTTCAAGGCTGGGTGTTCTGACATAGTTTGACCAGACAGCATGGCCATGACCTTTTTAGTTATCAGCTCCTTTTCAGGGGAGCAACTGCAGTTGTTTGTATACTATAGGTTATGTTGCTTCATCCTATGAAGAGATATTCTGAGAATTTCCCAGTTGTGTGTTGTTGTTTTGTTTTTAGATCTCACTAAACTGAAATTCCCTCTGAAATGTGACCAATACTTTCACAGCATAAACTGGAGTGAATCTTTGTTAGTTAATTTGGATGATTGATTCTCAGAAGCTGAAAGTGTATACTTATTGGGGATTTGATTTTTGGTGGCATTAGTTTCCTTTCATTTAGGAGGAGATAGTTTGGACAATGCTTTTGTATTGTCAATAAACTGATTTGCTTAGGAAAAGTAGTTGAAGGGTCACTTCTGATACACAGGTTTGGGGGAAGTATCAGACAGCTTATCCAAACCAAACTCTAGGTTGCTTGCTTTGTTGTTCATCTAGGTAAATAAAAGTCCTCACAGAGGTTTGGAGATCTGTAAGCGAGGTACATTGCTCAAAAATGAGTATCAAAGAACCAGCAACTAAACTAAAGGTCTCGTTAAAGCAAAATTAGCAGGATATTATTTCACCCTGGTTGCTCCTCGGCAGAGAGCTTGTGTCAAAGGGATAGCCTTCGTTGGTAATAGAAAAGCTAAAGATTGCATGTGTGGTTGCAATGCTTTCTGTCTTTATAAGCAGCATTACTACATGTTAGGACGATGGCTTATTGATGTATAATCTATAAAAGGGTAAGCCATATGTAATGGCTAGCTGAATAGAGTAGTGACCTCTAATGTGATCAACAGCTCTAAAATAACAAAAATTGGACACCCTTAGGAGACTGGTATTTCTCAAGGTGAATATTCAAGTTTTTTGTTGTTTATATTTTTTCTTTATTTTTATATTGTGTTTCATTGTAGTATATGGTTCAGTCTCTTCAAGTGTGGCATTCTAGACTTGGTTTTGAATCTGGAAACTCTAGTCTTTTCCAGCAACTCCATCCTGTAAAGGTAAGTCAATCAGTTTTAGTTACAGTCTCTCTGCAATTTCAGGTATTTCTTACCCGTTTGCTGGAACCCCTGGACTTTCATGCCTACACTACGTAATTAAGGCATGTTTTATTATCTCCATTTGACTACAGTTTTACTAGCTATATACAAGCTTAACCGAAAGTAATAAAGAGTTTGGGGGAAAGGGGTTTTCAGAATAGCTTGGGGATATTAAGTGCTGAGGCAAGAAGATGAGGTTTTTGTCTTAAATCAGCACTTTAGAGGATCTCCTTTACTTCAGGAACTTGGGTATTTTGTTATTTATTTAGTAGTTCAATTTTTGCAGCTTGAGTTTTCTTTAATTCCAGGTGTGGAAGGGAAGATTTTCTTTAGATCTAAACGTGGATGAAGTCTACACTTTAACCACACTCAAGACAGGGCAGAAATGTGGTTGCCCACAGCCTCCACCACCTCAGCCCTTTCCTTCAAATTACAAAGATGATTTCAATATTCGTAAGTCAGAATTCTATTAGCCAAAAACTTAATTCACACATAGATATAGTCTTAATGTAGAAAGGCAGTAACAATTATGTTGAGTCCTCTAATGTGACATGAAGTAGTCTGAATGTGTGTTTTAGTTTGTTTGTGAGGTTTTTTTTAATACTTTCTTCTCCACCAGTTTGCAACTGTATACTTCACTTGCAGTGAACTGTATTTAATTCTGTGTCTTCACTGGGTGGTCCCTAACAATTTTAAAATTCTTGTTGCAAATAATGTAGCTAATAACTATAGTGAACTAGTTCTTGGAAGGAAGATAGAGAAGAAGGTATTTTTTTTGTTTGTTTGCAAAAACTGGTGTCTGCTTCAAAACCAAAACTAAAATCACCTTCCAACTCTCAAAACTTCAGCTTTGCAGACTTTGATTTGATAGACTAAGTCAAAATTCTAGAGAATATTTTCAGAGGAAATTTCTGAACACAAGAGTACACAGAAGAAAAATAATGTTTTGGTGTTGATATGTATTTTATTTTCTGAACAGGAAATCCACCTTTCAGTGAAGCCCCAAATTTTGCAGATCAGACAGGGGTATTTGAGTACTTCATAAATGCTTCTGACCCAGGAGATCATGTGTTCACACTTCGCCAGGTGGTGATTCAGCGACCCATCACTTGGGCTTCTGATGCAGACCAGACCATCAGTCTCATAGGAAATTTTCAGTGGTATGTAAATAGTATTTTCTAGTGACATCTGGGGATATGTCCTCCTTACCAGTGTGAATTATGATCAATTAATCTGTCTCAAGCCTCGTTTCTCTTGGACAGAGGGCTTTTGTATTCAGACTGTCTGTAGATGTGTAGAAATGATGACTTAAAGGGACTTCCAAATGTCATTGAGCCCTGCTCAGGGCTATTGCTAAGAGAACAACTGTGTCTTTATCTGAAAGAATCCTAAAAACATCCAAGGATGGAGAGTCCACCACATCTGTCGGTAGCTTGGGCCACTGCTGCACTGTCTTGGAAATTTTTTTTTTCCTAATGTCCTCCTGGGCATATTTGTTCAAGCTGTTTTTTCAGAATAATGGATCTGGGTTGGCATAGTAGGTGACCAAGTCAAAATCCTAAATCAAAGGGTGCACTGGATTTCAATACATTAAGTGGGACAAAAAAATTGATTCAGTTTAAAATACTTAATTTTGAGTTGTGTTGCTTGATTGTTAGTGATTTGATCAATCTTGTATCAATGACTATAGTCTGGGAGTTAATTCAGTTATATTTGTTGCAGACTGCCATCTTCTGAGCAGTTCCTCAGCTGCTAATTAAAAAGGTTTTATTTCCGGCTAAACGTAACTGAGATTTACTGGTTTGATAATTGGTTATGATTGCATTTCTTTTTTTAACCTATTTGAACACTTTGTTTAAAAAAAAAAAACGTTTGTTTTGGCTTTTGGACAAAAGGTCTGGATTGCTTAAGACTTGGCCTGTATTAAAAATGAAGAAAAATGAACATCAAATTTTAGCAGATGTGGTTCTATGTCTTTGAATCTTGGGTTTGATTTAGTTATCTAAAAGCAAGTTCTCATTTTGCAGACCTGAAAGTTTTTCTGTGGAGATGCAAACCTTCTGTGTGTGGGGTTTTTTCTTTTTAAAAAATTAATTGAAAGTTGCTGACAACACACTTCGTGTTGTTGTTGATTTCTGAGAAGAATTGCTCTTCCTAAAGAAAATCTATGGACTCACAGGTGGGAAACAACCAGTCTAGACAAGTCCTGTGCATCTCACACCTTGTGGGTCAATTAGGATTGCTAAATCTTTCCTCAAAAAGGTTGCCATACTACGTATGGAATACACTTCTACCTACTGCCTCCTCAAAAAAGTTGATTAACTTGTTTGTTAAAACACTAAACTTCTCTTATAGGGTAAACATGACAGTCACTTGTGACATCTACATAGAAAAACGACGTGATGGGGGCGTGTTTATTGCAGGAAGAGTCGACAATGGTGGGATATATGTTCGACGTACCAAAGGAGTTTTCTTCTGGGTTTTGGCAGATGGCACCTACAGAGTCACAGCTGACCTAGGTAAGCAGCTCTTTGCTAAAGTGGGTGCTGACATATGGACATGTCATTTTGATAGCTTTGGTAAACGTGACTCATTCAGATTTTGTAATTCAGTTATCATCACTATGAATTTAACAGATTGTGCTCTAATGATGGCCCCATTTTGGATGTGAAGAGAGCATCTGAAGGCTACTGGCTGGGCCACTTCTTAGGCTCCACCTTCTTGGTTTCCCCCCCCCCCCCCCCCCCCCCCCCCGCTAACAAAACCTATTTTATACTAGTGAATGTAAATTATTTTGCTTTTCATAAATACTCTGGTACAGTATCAATTACAGAAAATCCTGCTTGAAACAGTGGCCTGTCTTGTAGAGCAGTGCAAGTCAATGTACATACATCTGCTTAGGTGATGAGTGGCCTACTGTTTCCACAAATTATGTGTTCTACTGTTGGTCTAGCTCAGTGCAGTGAGAGCATGTTCTACTTGTGATGCTAACACTCACATGAGTTCATTTATAGAGCACTTGACAGGCACGTGAAAGAGAGTATGTCATAATACTTCATCAATAGCTAAAAGTTATTTTTAATTTGCTTTGAAATAGTGGTAAGTTTTGCTGTTGAAATGCATTTCCTGTCGCTTCATGAGTATAAATGAAAATTTTTCAGTAGTTTCTGATGAGTCCAATGCAACTTCTAGATCTACGATATATCTGATATGAAGACAGACTATAATGACTTGTTTCACACTTAAAAATAGTCTTGTCTTCTGTTTGGTAGCTGTAGTTTCTCACTTCTCCTCATTTTGTTTTTTTGTGTGTGTTTTGGTTTTTCTTTTGATATATTTTTTTTTTTTTTTTTACCATGGATGTGTAGGCTTTATATTAGCTTCTGTTAACATACTGGTGCTCCCTAGGAAAACTTTGCAGTGTCTAACTCCATAACTACTTAAGTTTCAGCTGTATGTAATAACATACTCATATTTAGGATTGTATTAGTATTTATTTTTAATAAGACTTAACAACATTACCCAATTAGTTTCTCAAGCTGTCAAAATTTTTCCTAGATGAAATGAGAGATTTTGATTAACCATGTCATTATTTCAGACTGAGACACTTGTTACACAACATGATAATTTTTTTCTATACAGCCATTTTCAGTGATCTTTACATTTTTCTAGAAAGGAGCATGAATGTTAAATTAACTTGTAGCTAAAACTGTCTACTGAATAATTGAAGAATCTACTTGTAGCACTTAATTTTTTTCAGGCCTTCCATCCAAGAATCAGTCACACCCAGTTTTTGCTTAGCTTAAATTTGGACTAGAACTAAGCAATGGTGATGATGTGGCAACTCAAACCCTCTGAATTAAAAAAGTTCCAATACATAAACGAGGAGATCTATAGAACAAGCAGAGCAATAGCTACTGTCACACTTCATGAAACCATACTCTCAACAGAGGGAATCCTTATCTCAGGCCAAATTCCCAAGAGAATGGAGATTTAAAGGGAAAAACAATCCTGGCAAAACAAGAGAATGCACTGATAATGTAGAGTCCAGGTTTGCATGTTAAATCTTCCATGCTGCAGTTTAAATTGGTAAGATGCTGGTCCAGAACACTTCTGACACAGCCTTGTGTTGGCTTGGTATTTATTTGTCAATCTCAGGTGAAGTAACACCTTTCTAACCTTAAGAATGTTTTGCAGCTGGAGAAGAAATATTAATGAAAGGACTTTCTGGTGTTCGTGATAATGCGTGGCACACACTAACTCTCAACATTCAGGTAAGGACACAGGCAAAAAATCTAGAAAAGCAGTTACGAAACTTCCAGTCCTAAATAGTTTACACAAAACTATGCTATACTATTGACTGTGTACTTGCATTAGTTCGCCCTACCTACTACCAGAGATATTACTTATCTCTGGTATTTTAAACCAAGAATAAAATACCATACTGAGTTCTGCTGCCTGTTTAAAGAGTTCTTGAGAAACTGGGGAGAGTATGGAAAATAACTGGACAGATGAGTTGAAAGCTGGAGATAGGAGGGCTAGAAGGGCAAATCTTTTGTTTAATCTAATGAAAAGATCATGACCTGACTTCCCGTTCTGAAGACTGTCAGTAAACTACTAAACTAGCCTGTTTTACAAATCTGGCTCCCACCAATTCCCTTTGCATACTAAAGCCTTGTATGTGGAACTACAAGGACTGGGGAACTCAGATGAGCTGCTGTTCTTTTTTCCTATACTGAAAAAGCATGGGCATAGTGTTACTGTAAAAATGGTCCACAGTTAATGAGACACCTGTCCACATTTTCCCACTCTTCTTCCCCTTTTGACCATAGTCACTTGGTGAAGAAAGTGGTCTCAAGCTCTACTTTGGATACACCTGTGCACTTAGCTGGGTATGACATTGATGCAAATAACTAAAAGGCTTTAAATTCCTCTGCTGAATGCCTAATCCCTTGGCCTAATGTAACCTTTGCAACTGCAACTTTGGCCTGAAAGGTGGGGAAGCTTGAATCCTAGCTGGGGAGATCCTCTGCTGAAGCAAACTCTCTTTTAAAATTATGCACCGAGTCTTTCCTTCATCCTGAAAGGTTTGTGAGTATTAGAAGCTAGTGATTTTTTTGGTTTTGTTTGTTTTTTTTTTTCCCCTTTGTGCTTTCATGTTGGGAGACAAAGGGATGCTGGTACCTGAGGCATTCACTGGAATGGATGTAGTTTAGTTTTGGCTTTTGTACACCCACACTTATGACAGTGAGTGCCATCTGTAAAATGGCCCAAGACATTTACTAACCTGAATGAGGTGCTGAAGATGAACATAAATTGTTTAAAACACAAAACAGTGGTGGTAATTTTAAAATGATGATGCTACAAAATTCCATCTGTGCTGTTAAAGTGTTTTGTGCCATATATGCCTTTGATGTAATGACAGAATTGCAGAGCACTCTTTAAAGAATTCTCATGCTGACTCCTTGAAAGGCATTATTTGCTTTTAACGTCTGTATGTAATTGTCTTTCAGATTAGGAAATACAAGTAAACTGAAGTACTTTTTTTTCTAAATACTGTTTAGTGGAACACTGGCAAGATAAATTGTAACTTTTCCCAAAACTTTTTAATTTTAATGGCAATGTGATACTTGAAAGTTCTGCTGTCGTCTCCTCCTCTCAGCTTAATGACTAAAATACATCTCTCCTTCCTTTTGACTTTTGCCTAACTCTGTAGAATCAGTGCCAGGTGTATCAATATCCCCTTGAGACAGTTGGGCTGTTTGAGGGAGCATGACACAAGTGGAAGAGGAAAACCAGTTCACCTTTCAGATTCTACACTGAGTTTGCAAAGCTGTGAGTTAGGGGGAGATGAGCCTTTTATATATTCACTGTAAAGTCATTAGATCTGTTTCACAGTGCTGATAGGCATTGGAGGATTCTATGCAATATTTAGAAGTTATTTTCTGCATGGAAAATGTGTGAAATGTACTTGAAAGTTGACTTGACATGTTTCTGCCTTGTCTCTTCTCCCATGTGAGTGGGTTCAGTGTCAACACAATCACTGGATTTTACAAAGCTAACTTTTTCCTTTTTTTTTGGCAGGGCACTTCTGCCTCAGGACTGTTAAATGGTTACCCACTCTGGGAGAATGTCACCATTTCTAAACCAAGTAACGGCTGGGCTGCTATTGGAACTCGCTCATTTGAGTTTGCACAGTTTGACAATTTTCATGTTGAAGCTAGCTGAGGTGGCTTTTGCGTTTGGAGAACCCAGTTCTCATATTACTTCGAATAAGAACCAGTTGAAACTTTGAGGATAACTTAATGCTATGCTGAGATTGATCTGTTGGCAAGGAATCTGGATTCTGTCCTCATTATTTGTTAGAGGTTTACTTGAGTAGGTATCAACGTGACTGTAACGTTATCCCCTGGTTGCTATGGGATTTTTGCCCTTCGATTTTTGGGGGTAAATTTTAGTTCAAGGTAATGATGAAAACAAAATAATGGATTTAAATCTCTTTTAATAGCAACATCTTAACTTCCCAGCTCACTTTTAAGATAACGTTAGAAGTTAACAGAAGACAGAGCCATCTCAAGCTGCATTTTTAACACTTACATGATTGTGTCCATTCCTTTCACTCTGAAAGAAAGGGTTAAATGCCAGTAAGCCTTATGAGCCAGTGGCCCCATACTTTTGTAGGTCTGTCATTGTCAAATTTCATTTGGATGAAGTACCTAGTTTTTCTACAGTAAAAAAAAGATGTTTTGTTTTTCTGCTACAGTCTGAGGCTAGATATTACAATACTCCAACTGCATTTGATTACTTCTTCCTGATTACTTCTTCCAACTTTAATTGCCAGCCTTAAAATACATTGTATTTTCAGTGGAATGGAGATGTGCCTTATGGCTGATCAGGCAGTGCAGGAAGTTCCTTACTTCTAAACTACCTCCTCTTTCCAATGAAAGAGTTGAAATGGATGAAAAGATACCATAACCTGCAGTTTGTTAATGATACCCTTGTAGGGTTTTTCTTTTCATGGTGCAAAGAATAAAAACTTTGCATTATGGATGCTGCCAAGCAGAGTGCTTGCTTTCATGTCAGGTCACATGTGGAAAAACAAACTTTTTGTTCCTAGAAACTTGGGCAACCATCTCTCACTTTTGATGGATCTAAAGCTAAGAGCAGAAAAATAATTAAAGCATAACAATGTTTTTAGCTTATTATATTACTGTAGCACAGAGGAGGTATGGATACTATCACATCCTGATATAAAATTAAAAAAAAAAAAAAAGTCTTTGCCCTTAACAGCTTGCAATCTATTCGTAAGGTAAGTGACAGCAAGTGGACGCAGACAGAATTGCTTAGTGTGCCAGGCAGTGGTATTGACACAATAGTCAGTGTCAACTTTTCCTAGGCATCATGGAGTAAAGTTCAGAGGGAATTTCAGATCCTTGGGAAAGGAGGGATTCTCTGTTGCTGTTGCTTCATTGGTTTTGTTTTTTCCAAGTTACTGTGCTACAAAAAAATCATTGAGAATATAATGAGGTACTGAATGAGCTTTTCATCACATACATTCCAACTTCAGTTGGCTTCTGAATTTTTCTTGTTTGCTGTTGGTCGGTTTGAATGAAGATGATGTCTACTGTCGTAACGAAACATGCCTCCTGTGTCCGTCTACTTTTCACATGCTCATCCTAATTAATTGACAAGCATGTGGTTCCACAGACTTGATAGGGCACTAACAGCTGTATGAGGCTATCTGTAGCAGGCAATATCTTATCTTTGAGAAACAGACTTGCAGTATACTTTGATTTATATGATTATTTTTCTCATCCACTTTAATTTGAAGGCTGATTCCAGTAAGTGTGAACTTCAGTCTTTGAAGTTGTCATCTAATATTGAGTTACTGTAATACAAATCATTACTGGAAAATTTTTATAAAGGTTGTCTTCCAAATTAGCTTTTGGAGAAGAGATCTCAAAATTCCATCTCTAATAAATAAAAATGTTTTATCTTTTAACAATTACACTGCTATTGATTGGTTAAATGATTCACGTGTGCAAGTTTCATACATGCTAGTAACCTTGAAAAATAGTGCAAACTACTAAACTTTAAAACTCTTGTAGAAGGCTTCTGAATATTAAGTAACTGTTTACTTAACTGAGTGAAAAATGAAAGCCATTTTTCCACTTCAGTTTCACTTGATGGTTGAAGTATGGATGCAAATCTGTTCATTACTTGCTTGATTTCAGAAGGAATGTCACTGGTAACTCCAGATGTGAAGGAATCTAATTTTAGGTCCTCATATTCAAGTAATATGAGTATAGGAGAATTAGTTCTCAGAATAAATTTGTTTTAACTGTGATGGATTTTCCTAGGAGGATAACTTCTTGGAGACTTCCTGGTAGCTTGTGTGACTGCAAGGAATGTTGGCATAAGAGAGAGATCAGCAATGATGTGGTTATTCCAAAGGAGATGTTCAGGTTTTTTTGCCTTTTAATGCACTAGTGTAATAAACTGTACTGTTATATTGTGTACTGAACATAATGCATTTTATCACTGGAAGTGTTGATTTTTTTCTAATCTTAATTTATAATGTTAGAGGATTAAACTGTTTTGAACAGAGTAAGTGATTTAATGGTGATATAATGTTATCCATCTTTTATATGTCTGTAAATCTTCACCCTTCAGCAGGCTGTAATATGTTTGGCAATAACAAGCTGTCAGGTCTTCCATTGAGGGGTGGATTTATGTTGTTACTTATAAATACTAATCATTCCAAATAGACAAATAAAACGCTTAAACCCCCTTTATTTGTGCAGAATGCTTCCGTAAATGGGTCTTGGTTTTCTCCAGTAAGAAGGCTGACAGTTTTTTCATTGTGATTCTTGATAAATACTCTTGGCATTAGCTTAATTGTGTTGGAAGAGTTTTTCTGACACTCTGAATAGTCAAATAGTCCTCATTAACAAATATCTCAAAATCCATATGCATTAGGACTTGTGCTGTTGATAAAACTTCTTTTTTATAGCGCTCAATATACATTTTGCTTCTTTCTGTTTGTTTTTTTGCATTTAGTTAAGGGAATTAAATTGTATTTAAGGGCCAGTCATGCAAAACTGCTGAGTACTAAGGTCTTGGGAGATTTAGCTGAAAGTCAGTGTTGTATGGATGTGCTTTCAAAGTTTGAATGAGACTTCTTTACTTTGAATATCCTTTTGAATCTAGCTTCAAATTTGCCTTTTTTTTTCCCCCTAAAGTTAAGGGCTCAACTTTAAGAGGGGGTAGAAATTCCACAGAGCTAGTCATGTTTTCCCGGCCATCATACCAGTAGATATGAATTACCCTGGAAATACTATCTTCCAGTAGCCAGCTGTGTGCTACCACCTACACAAACACCACATCAGAATTAATTCTGTCTCTTCTCTGCCACACCACCTTTGAGGTTGGACATAATGAGCAGTTCTTGGGATTTTCAAATTCCTGCAAAATGCCAGGACTCCTTTACTTTAAAATTACAGGAGACTGTATTACTTTAGGCTACTGAGGATGGTTACTTCTGCAGCCGCCTCCTGGTTTCACTGTGTCAAAATTAAATTTCTAGTTCAGGAGTTGATTTGGAGTGGTAGTGGTTTGCTCTTTCCATATTGAATCAGTTCAACAGCTTGGTAGCAGCAGGTTGGTACCTAGTAATTTTTCATTGGCTTATCTGAAGTTTCTATCCAGAGTCCATTTTCTGGAGGGGTGTGCATATTATGAAAATAGTCACCACAATTGTTGCTGTCTTTGCTGGTTTCAGCAGCATGGACAAAGGATGGTGCTTGGAGACCTTATTATTCTCACTTTGATGTTTTGGATTTTTTTTCTTTGTTTGTTTGTTTTTAAACCCCCTTGTAAGTACTACATTCATATAAGTCTAACACATGCTGGAAGTGGTAGGGTGGGAAAGTTGTAAAAAAAAAAAAAAAACAACCTGTAATTTTAAAAGACTTGGCTAGGCTTGCAGTGGAATCATCAGGTAGCTATTTTAAGGTTTTGAGCATATTATACTTTGATACTTGACGAGAAGAAATATCATGTGCCAGTTATGCTTGGCAATAGATATGCAATTATCTCTCTTGCTGAAACAGAGAAATAAAATATAAATGGTTATATATTTTCTTAACAAAGATGTCTTAGGTAAAGGTTAAATGCTTTTGTGTGTGGCTGGAACCTTAGCAGTCATCCTGCCGATATTGGTAATGCATGAGCAAGTTCCTCTTTGCCACGAGAGATGTTCGTTCCGTTTATGCTCAAGTGTCACTGAAATAATAAAGGTGGTGTTTCTAGAACTTGTGTTTCTAAAAAAAACCCCAAACACCTACTAGCAATTGAGCAGAGGAAAATGTGTGTTGCAGCGATGTTGCAAAGCTTTCACTGTGTGCCAAGATACTTCTGTGTGATGTTCATAGTGGCTAAGACAAACAACAGTAAACCAGTATTTTTTCCCCTGAAGGAATTATGTTCACATAAGGTTAGAAACAGATACAGAACCTAAACATCAATTTTGTCAGGGGACTGCAAGTAACTTTGCAACTAGCGCATTAAACCTGTCCTTTACTTTTGTACACCCCAGGCTAAACATAGACATATCTCTGGAAAGTGGAGACCAAAGTAACCTAAAAATATTTGTTAATGTCTTGACTTTTTTTTTAAATGCCTTTTCTGTTGATACCAACAGAATTGTACCTAACTGAGAGTTAAAACTTCACTTAGAGCAGGAAAACAGTCATTTTGGTTTTACTGTGCTCATAGATGCATTTCAAAACGCAGAACTGTAGTAGAGGATGGCTCAGTACAGTACTAACTCAAGGGTTTGCAAGAGAAAACAGAACACTAGTGTAATGTTGCACAGCCATGGTCTGTGAAACCCTGGTCTGTGAAACCCTGGTGGTCTAGGACAGAAGATAACACCAAAATGACTATTTAAAAAAAACCAAAACAACAAACCAACAAACCCAACCCAAAACAAACTCTGCACATGTGTACCCACATAACACAGGGAAAAGCAAAGAACAGTCCAGGTTTAG